AATGCCTTCCAGTCGTGTTTCTCCTGACCCTCTTCGGGCACCTCATCGTCGTTGAACTCCTCGTGATGATGGGTGCGAGTGGTCTCTGTCGTCATATTGCCGTCCCTTCCGAGTCGCGACGTCTCCTTCACTTCCTCCGAGTCATTGATTTTATTGGATTTACTCGAATAGTGAACTAATTTGCCTTTAGGTCCATCGGGCGCGTCGTCGTTGTCGTCGATTTGGATCAACTCATTGGGCGCCTGAAGCGCTTTGCGATGGATCTCCAGTCCCGTCAGCTCTTTGAAGCTCTCGTCGTGGTATTGGATGTTCTCCTCCTTTGCCTCTCGGCTCGACTGATGCGTTTCGGTCTTCTCACTGACCACTTGATGACCGCCGGGAACGGCTACATACCCGGGCCCGGGAGGCGTGTCCACGTCGCCGAGGTTCTTGTGCTTCGTGTCCTCCGACTCCTCCTTCTTCTGGTCCTCTTTAGTCTTTGTGAACACTTGCGGACCGCTGTCTGCGATCACCTTTCCGTCCTCCATCACGATCTGCCGCTTGATTCTGGTCTCCACTTGTTTTGTCTTGTGATTCACTACTTTCCGGGATGTCGTCCATTCCTCTGCACAATGAAAAACCATTACTTTTGAGGAATAAAGCATTGGAAATACTATTTTGTTGCTAAACTCATAAAAAGTTATCTCTTTTTTACTTGTTTTCCTTTCAATGACATTAAAATTAAATTTGTTTTATAGCCAGAGAATTATTGCTTTAATAATAAGTTATAAATTTTAAAAATCTTATTCTTTATCGAAATATTTCTCATAGCCTTTCATTCGCTTCGCATACATATTACTGTTAAACAATTTAGTCGACAAATATGTGATAAATTTGTTTTTGAAATTATATTTCCTTTGATTTATTTAAATATAAAAAAAGTAAGAAAACTTTTGTTCAAACTTTTAGAAAACACTTCAAGTGTTGAGACAAACCTTGTTTCGCAGCCGTCAGTGCATTTGAATCGGTGTTTACCTAAAAAACAATTTACATTTTTATTATGTAAGTAATTATCAAATTTATAAAAAATATTTATATAGCAAAATATAATATGTAAAGTGCTTTCTAGCGAAAGCTTTTTGAGAACTCAATTGAGTTTTCACCAAACAATTTGTCCTAATTTTTCATATATTCATCAGTAAAAGGAAATCATTAGCATGTATTCATGTATTATAAAGTCATTAAGAACTCATCGATTTCATAATAATTTCAATAAATGTGTAAATTATTTGTTAAATACAAATGCAATCTAAGTATTTGCGATGAGATTAATGACATAGATATTTTATTTAATTATTAAACAATAATTGTCTAACAAGTATTGACGATTTACTGAGCATATGTTTATATAGTAATAGTAATATACTAATGTAATAGTAACATGACAATTTACCGGGATGACAGATGTGGTTTTGACTCGAGTGGTCGATCCATTGCTTTTGACACTTTGACGATCCATTGCATTTGATTTCAAATATGGCTCTTAATAATGACTAAAAATATATTTGTAACCAAAGGGTGCACTGAATACTCGTATCCGAAGCGCAGACCAAAATCGACGGAAAAGTTTTTCGCATGAATTCAGCGAAAGTTGTGAACACTTTGACAAGAAAGCAAATTTTGGACAAACAGTACGCCTATGAGAGACTCATTGCTCCTACGCTACGGTTTGGGATTGAGTTTTGAGTTTTCACTTTAATTGCTATCCAACCAAATAAAAAGACGCGTATTATTACAAACACAGCCATAAATGGTGAAGACATTCAATGGGAAATTCATGGCAAACGAGTTTCGAGTCTCCCATTCATGCCATTCGCTTGACTGCCAGTCAGGCATTCGTTGCGAAACCCATATATTTATTCTGTGTTTCACTTTCAGCCCAATGACTATTACCTGCTATAGTGTATGGGAGAGAGTGGGAAGGGATGGAAAGGTGAAAGGGATGCAAAACTCCTTAAAGAGTAAATTAGAACAAACAACACATTGAGTGGAGAGAGTGGGACGGGAGGAACGGCTCTTACCATCAAAACTATAACAACACACGAATGCGCTCACGATTTCGTGGCTAAACATATGCTTTCCTTTCAATTTATTCATACATTTATTTAAATTACATTTTTGTCATTATTTGCAAATTTAATAAGTTTTTATTTGATGGCAAACTTTTGTTTTGCAAATGAAATCTATGCTTTTATCAGTTAAACGACTCCTAAATGCACTCATAGTTATGTAAAACGCGTACGAATTCACATATTTTGTATTTTATCGCAAAATGTTTATGAATTTAATTAATAAAATACAACAAGTTTTCAATTTAGTTGACAGTATTAACTAGATATACACTGTATATTATACAGTAAAGTAATTTTTATAAATTGAATTCATATATATTAATTGGTACAATAAACATTTCATTATATTGACATTCCAATACGACATATAAAATGACTTATTTATCGTATATGAAGTGTGATCATGGTGATCATACTATTATAGTTTAAACTTGAAAGCACTGATGAATATGACATGCCTCGGGGCAACATTGTTCATTGCGACCACATTTGTGACGACCATCCTGGTCAGTGCAATCGGGCAACAATCCAGGGGGAGGGCATTTTGCTACTCCCCTAATACTGGGACACCCCTTTTGCATGCCACCTTAAATATGTGAACATGGTCATACGGTATAAACTCGGTGGTATTACTGATACGCGAGTACAAATAGTATAATAACTCACCAGGGACCAAAGAGATTAGCAAAAGTTTTTGACAGATGTTTTTAAAATTTGTTTGTATTAGTTAGTTACGTTATTATTAACAATTATAAGTTTTATTAGTTTATAAAGTTTGACGTATAGGTCACGCGTAGGAATTTTGAGTGCGAAAGGTATTCAAATAAAGTGTTAAATAGTGGCGGAAAGGGTCATATGTTTAGGGACTAAATCCTATCGGAAACCCATTCTAAACCTTATACAGTATACACATTATAGCCCTATATCTCAAACAATCGCACAGCAATTTATACAGTGATCGCAATTTAATACATTTTGACTAGAAATGGTAGACAATTTCAAAGTAGTGCAGTAGAAAGTCTACTAAATGTAGTATATATTCAGAAAAGAGATGATATATTCCTGCAATACCTATACACGGGTGAGGTATGTGTGGCACCGGAAGACGGCATTGAATTACTAGATTTGGCCGAATCTTACTGCGAGACACACCTCAAGACAATGTGTGTCCGACTTATACGAAATGGTATTACAGTGGACAACGTTTTACTGATATATTTGGCTGCACTTAAGTACGAGATCCCCAAACTTGAGGACATGTGCTTTACTTTCGCATTGGCACACATGACCAGGGTCATTGAGACCAAGGCCTGCGAAGACATGGATTCTGCAGTGTTCAAGAATTTCATCATAAAAGCCTCGAGGAAAGAGGCGTTCATTAACTAATTGAATTGCCACAAATTCATTGTACAGTATATGATGAATATTTTAATTATATTGTAAATTACAATCCAATTTGTAATCAACCGTATAATCAGTATTGTACAATCAGCAACCTAACGATAATCTTTTCAATTACATGTGATTATACTGTAATACTGTAGATCATTATTAATACTTTTGCATAATATTATGGTCTTATTTTGATACAATATTTTTGATATTATTCTATTAAGTATTTAATGAATGAATAAATAAAGTTTTCTTTGATGTAATTGTTAATATTAATAGATGTTTGAGAATTGCAAATATTTTCTTATTACAAATCATACGGCAATCAAATATTTAATAGACATTTGTCGATTATATTAATGTCTTTTTATTACTTACCTGTTATGAAATGTACATGTAGAAAACATTTATTTTTTAAAATGTTAAGTTAAAAGTTCTCAAGTACTATAATGTTAACATCAACTATAAATTATCAATATTTAATTATACGTATATACCCCAGGGAATTTTTAAAAATGAATAAGTCTAATAATTATTATTACAATCCATTTGACCTTGGTTTACGGTAGTTCAATAAACCATTAAGTTGTGAGTTATAATTACATTTACTACAGTATAAATTATAAATGAAATAAATTCAAAATCATTCACTTTATGTTACTGTGATTTATTAAAAACCTTTTAATAAAAATAAAAACTTAAAATAAAACAAATCAATAATTTTTTATATCACAAAAACATAACGTATTTTAAATGTATTAATAATTAATTTAGGGATAAATTGGCCACAAGTTGTATATATAAAAAAAGTTTATTTATTGAGTGAAACCCGCTTATTAGGAATGATTGGTTGACTCCGGAATTGTATGCCTTTCCACCTCCGCTTCGGTATTAATATTTGTTAACAAATTTTGAGATATATTTTTGGCACAATTTTGGACAAATATTAATCATAAAAATATTAAAATTATATTTTAGTAAAAAGTGTTTTTCTCCGATAGAAAAGTAGAGTCCAATTGGTTCGAGGATTTTAGCTATAATTTCAATGGCTTTTCGACTTCCACTCGAAATTAATCGTGAATTTAATGACAATATTATTATTATTTTGATGAATGATTTCGACCGTTAGTGTAGGCGTCGGTGAAACTCTTGATTTGGAGGGCATTCGTGGAAAGGGGGCTAAACTTTGGGAAGCTATCGGTCGGCGACGACGACCGGAATAGCGGCGATCGTGTCCTCGTCTTGGACTTAGTCCACGTGCCTCCGGGCGACGCCGGACTGGAGGGCCTGTACTTGTAGTCGGAGCTGGAATACAGGGGTGGGGGCGAGACGTAAGAGTCAAAGTTTCGCTGCCGAGTCAACGGGTCTCGTCTCGAGGAGTAGAAGTCGTCTGACGGCGGATACAGATCGCGACCGTCTTTAATGATGGGATGAATGAGTTCATTGGCTTTTGAGTCACTCGTTCCCCAATAGGACTTGTCGTCCAATGGCTTTACGCTCTGAATGATCGGAAATTAATGTTAATTACTGTATGTATCGGGAAAGGGGTGGTGCACTGAGCGCCTACCTTATAGTGTGTGTCCCAATCCATGAATCGGTTGAGATTGTGTTCGACTTCATCCCTCTCTTTCTCTCCTTTGAAACTGCGGTCGAAGTTGTCGTCAAACTTGGATTCGTCGACAACCCTATTATTTAGCGTCGATTTACTGCTCGCGTGAACGTTGGCCGTCACGTGTCCGCTGCCCCGCCAGTCGTCGTTGTTATTGAAATCGCTTTTCTTTGTCGTGTCTTCCGTTGTCGAGTACTTCTGTTTATAGAGATAATCCTCTATAATCTCTTTGTCCGATCGATACTCCTTTCCCTGATGTTTCTGATGGCTTTCATCGCCGAAATAAAATGTCTTCTCGGGTCGGGTGGGCGTCTCGGACCCCCAGTCAACCTTTCGGCTCCGATCGCGCTTTTCAACGCTTGAGGAATGGGTTTTGCTTTTGAAATCATTGAATCTCTCCTCGTCCTGAAAATAAGTTTGCTTTAGTTATAGTAAAAGTCAGTAAAAAGTAATCAAATGTGTTATTACATCGGAAAGGGACGCCTGAACCGACGCGTCTTCTCGACGAGAGGCTCGCGAAGAGGGCCTGAAGTAGTCGGCGGCCGGCGATGGACTCCTCGACGAGTCTCTCACGTAATAGTTAGCGGTCGACGTATATCTTTGTCCCGATTTTGAGGTCTTTTGTTGCGATCGACTCTTTCGGTCGACTGAACGGTAATCTCCGGACAGCGCGGATATAGGGGTTGACGTCCTCCCAGTTCTGCTCACATTAATCACATTCTTTCCGGTCCTCGTGTTAGACGTCTCAACGATATCGCTCTCATCGCTGGACCCGAAGTGGTCGTCCAACCATCTGATCGTATGGTAAGAAATTTATAACAAAAATGTTTGACTAAAAATAAAATCTAATCACAACTACCTGTCCGTTGGCGTCTCCTTCTTGGATCCCGTCGGAGTCGTCCGGTTCTCAATCGATCGTAGATTCTGTCGATTCATGACTTTCGAGAAGTTGTCGAATCCGTGTTCGTAATCCTTCAGGTGCTCGACGTTTCTGGAGGTCTCTGTCGTGGACGCCGGTAATGCCTTCCAGTCGTGTTTCTCCTGACCCTCTTCGGGCACCTCATCGTCGTTGAACTCCTCGTGATGATGGGTGCGAGTGGTCTCTGTCGTCATATTGCCGTCCCTTCCGAGTCGCGACGTCTCCT